GACCCTTTTTGGGTACACCGACACACTTTGAAGGGAAATACTGAGCTTTCAAGAAAGGGCAAGAATTCCCACACTTCATGCCACTATGCAGGGTTGCAAACACTGCCACATCAACAACTAACCCCCCCATATGGTAAATCATGAAGAACACACAAAGCTGTGTCCGCGCCCCATCCCCCTACACCCCAGAAAACGTATTTTCTTTCTGAACCACGTAACAAACTTTCCTTTACAGACTGGCCACATTACACAAGCTACAAACCCCAAAGTAGAGAGGGTTATTGTATAAAACACTTCCACGCAAGGAGAAAACCTCTGTGGAGAGGACAAAGCATAAACCTGCAGCAGGATGGGAAAAACAAACAAACAAGAGTCACACCTTAGAAAATCCAATCTCTTAAAGTAAATTAAGTTTGTAATTATTTCCTTAATTCAGAAATGAAATGGGATTTCAAAACTGACCAGATATACTTGTTTTGCTTTCCTCTTCCCAAAGAAATGGGGAAACCTTTCTCCCAGCTTGTGAAAAATTGCTCACCCCCAAATACACCCCGGCAGGCGCCCCCCTTCCTAGAGCCCCGCGCCTGCCCAGAGATCTGCCAGCGGCAGGGAGGAGGCGGACTGCAGGCAGCACCTTGCCGGGCAGCCTTCTCCAAATTCCCTCCTTTTTAATTGCACAAAGTTACTAGATATGAGCAAATACTTTGCCAGCAGTGCTATATATTAACAAATCTTGGGAAAAGAGTTAATCCTGACGCTTCAGGGCTTTCGTATCAGACACCAAGTCGTGCTGTACGTGGAGGATTATCGTTTCGCAGTTGCCAGCTGCAGGGTGCGTGCTCCGTCTCTGGACACAGCGGGTAGATGCTGCTCTGCTCTTCGGAACAGGACGCTGCACCAGATGGACCTGCCATCTGAGCCCGTCTAGAAATGCTGGCGTTGTCAGCACTAGTGCACATTTCATCTTTTTTTTTTTTTTAAACAGTCAAAACAGAAAACAGTTTTCATCGACAATTTGCAGATTCAGAACTCCTCCCTCCAGCAACATCATGCACTGCAATAGATGTAAGACATTTCTGAAGGTCTGTTTAAAGAGAGAGAAAGAACAGGGTGCTCCCATTGAAAAAAAGATGTACCCCCAAAATTATGTGTTAATATAATTCAATCAAATATATTTCAGTGTATCACTTATGCATAGCATGTAAGCACCAGAGAGGTAACAGAACAGCCTTAATCCTGCTCACTACGTTGACATCTTAATAGAAATTCCTCGTGGGTACAAGCTTTGTGGGATATAATCCTAAAGGACTGACTGATATCACGCTCTTCATCAGAGCAGAACTTCACGAACTAAGAGTCTCGGGAGGATACAAACAACAGGACGTGATTTCGTTGAGCACAGAGGATTTTTACTTATTCACTATCTTTATGTTACAACCGAAAACAAAACCATGGTAAAAGACAACCGTCTAGGAGGTTTTAATTGCTCTTGGAAAGGGACTGCCACAGAGATTAGAAACACAGCTGTGCGAAGGCAGCACTGGGGAGTTTCAGGATCGTATCACTGGATTTGCTCTGGTGGATAAGGGTCAGTTTGTTTAGTCACCTGCGGTACAAACCCCAACGAGGGCTGTGAAAGGTAAATAGGTGCCTGGAGTCAGGTATCAACGCCCACAGCAATGCGCCACAGATAGAGGGCATGACTGCCATCCAACTACACTGCCTCTGCGCAGACGTGAGAGAGGGAGGAGTCGCTGCGGTCATGGACGAGTTTCATTTTCAAGGATCAGGATTTTGCAAGCTCTCAAAACTTTCCTGGGTCTATTGCACATTTCAATAGCCCAACAGCTGTCACGTTGAAAATTCAGACTCCTCATTCACTACATCAAAAGGGGAGAGGATGAGGAGATCCAATAATTTTTACCGGTAGACAAGCCTT